AACTATGCAAACCTCTGGCACTGCTTTATGTTAATAAATTCCTGCTAATAAACCAGTGACAAAGCAAAATAAATGTCCAGAAACCTCTGGTTTAGAAGGAAGATAAATCCAAGGCCTTGTGCGAGATCACTGAGGGATGGGAACGCCCAAACTTTTATTTGGGAGAGATTAAAATTCCTTTTTCTTCACCAGCAATGCTGCTTGGGACAGAGAGTGAAGAAATGGCAAAAAAAGGAGGAAAAAAACTTTAATCCTTGGGGCTGTGACCATTCCTTGGGGGAACCTATCCAGAACTTTTCCATTAAAAAAAAAACCAAAAACAACAGAGAGAGGAGGCACTAAAGCAAGTTTTAAATATCTTTATTATTATTTTGTAGAAGTTATTTGAGGTATTGCCATTGAAGACATAGTTTTGTGGTAGAAGGGCCACTGATGCTCCCCATTCTCAGCGAACCCCCGGCTTTGCGCTTTTCCTTAGCGGAAACACCCTCCCCTCCTTTAAATTCCTTCAAATAAAACCCCTTTTTCCCTTTTTCCTCCCCATTTCTCACTTTTTTGGGAATTCCCGGGAACGCTGAGGGCGATGAGGGGCGGCTGCCGCTCCGTGCGCGCCCCCTGCTGCCCCGCGCGGGAACAGCCCCGCCGCCCGGCCGCGCTTCTCCGCCCCGCACACGGGGCAGCACCGGCTCGGGGACACCGAGGGGGCACCGAGGGGGCTCCGAGGGGACACCGCGGCCCCGCCGCTCCCGGTCCCGGCCCCGCCGCTCCCACGGGAACCTCGCCGGCCCCGCCGCCATCGCCGCCTTCCCCTCACGGCCTCCACCTCCCCCTCCCGCGGCCCTGAGCAACCGAACGCCGAGCGGCGGATCCCGCGCGGTTCCGCGCCGCGCGCATCGAGGCGTTCGGCGGATCGGCTGGCTGGGCCTGGTGGCGCGCGGCGAGGGCGCGGCGGGGGCGGGTGAGCGCCGCCATTTTGCAGGAAGGGGTGAGGGGGGCCGGGGGTTCGTTTTTATTTTCCTTTTTTCCTCGCTTATTTCTCCCTTTTCCCTCTCCCTTTTCCCGTTTCCTTCTGCAATTTCCAGTTTCCTCCTCCCTTGCCATCGGCTGCCGCTGTCTGTCCGCGGCGGCGCCGCTGCTGGGAGGCGGGGAGGCCGTGCGGGCTGTGAGGGGGCTCCGTGGCCGGGGAGTTCAGCGCCTTCATTTAATTCCCTTTTCTCTTTCCTTATTTTTCCTCGTCCTTTTTCTGTTGTTTCCTTTCTTCCCTTCTCTTTTCCAGGCGTGTCCGGGCCTGGCAGCGAGGGGAGAGCAGCGTCATGGCCAATGTGAGTGAGTGCGGATGTCCCAGGAACGGCGGAATTCAGGATTAAATGGAATTGCAAACAGGTTTGGGTGGGGAAAAAAAACAAAAAAACAAACAAAAAAAAACCCCTTAAAATCATTTAATTCCCACTCCGTGCCGTGGGCAGGGACAGCTTCCAGTATACAGGACCTCACACCCTCCCAGGGAAGAATTTCTCCCTAAAATCCCAATCCAGCTCCACTTGGAATATCCCATTTTAAGATTAAATCCATTTTAAAGATTAAATCCATTTTTTCTCTGCTTTTTCTGTCACCCTGCGCTCAGCCACAGAGGGATTCTGTTGGTGGCACTCAGCTGATTCCAGCATAAAACACCTTTTATTGATTGTTTTTATTGCTCTCGCCGCGGGGACATGAATAATTCATGAATTATTCTAATGCCAGGTGTGTCAATATTTGCATAAATGAGCTGTAATTAGCGACATCTCCGTGTTAACCCAGGCTGAGCATAAGGAAAAATTCTTTTTTCTGCTAATTACATGTTGGCTGTGATTGTTTACATCTGTTTATAACATCCTCATCATGCCAAAATTAATTTCAACAGCGATTTGATACGATAAAAAAATAAGATTTGAGAGTGGAATCAGATTTTTGTTGTATTACAGGAACCTTTTAAAGCTGTTTCAGAAGGAGACAGCTCCAGGCTTGAGCTGTAAATAATTGATTTAAGTCATAAATTAAATACGTCTTGAAGCATTTGAGTTTTTGTATAATTTGGTAGAAACTATTTTATATTTACACAGAAGTGCTGGATGAGAAACTGCCTTAGGTCCTGATGCTTTAAATTTTTTGAATGTTTAAAATTTTTATATTTAACATCCACATAGCAGCATTTATTTTCTTCTTTTTAAAAGTAAATAACTTCTGAAAGTCCCTCTTTTTGATATAAAATTGCATCATTTTCTATAGAATCAAAGCTGCAGCACTTAAGGAAAATCCTTTCATGTTATTTTCTCAAAAAGAGTTGCTATTCCTCACCTGAAAAATTGAATTTTCCAAAAAACACCACCCACACTGTGGCAGGTGGGATTTGTATTTTCCAGGAAACAGCCACAGAGACAATCCCTAGCTATAATTTAATTTAAATTTTGGTGTTTCAGTGGTGCTGTTTTAAATTTTCAGGGCTTTAATTAACACTGAACCCACTTGTTTTTAAAGTTTTTTCTTTTCTTGAAACAGCAAAATCTGAAAATAACAAAAAAACAGTTTTACAACTTGACGTTACAGCTGGTCATAATTCAAATTTTAACAGAACTCTTGAAGGAGGATTTTTTTTTTGTCACTCACAGAGTTGTGTTTAAATGCTTAATTTGATTTTTATTATTAATTTGTGGTATTATTAATGAATTATTTTAATTTTTCTTCTCTCTCCAGGTGCTCTGTAACAGAGCAAGATTGGTCACCTACCTCCCAGGCTTTTATTCCTTGCTCAAAAGAGTTGGGAATGCCAAAGCTTTTTCCACTGCAGGATCCTCTGGCTCAGATGAGCCTCACGTGGCTGCTGCACCTCCTGATTTATGTAAGAAAAATTCAATTTATGGAGAAAAAAATTAAATTTAGGGGGGGAAAAAAGCAAATTTAAGGGGAAAAAAGGCAAATTTCTGCCAATTTCTGGCGTTTCCTGACTGTTTTTTGTGTTTCCCTGCTGTTTTTTGGGTTTTGCTGATCCACTTGGGGATTTCCTGACTGTTTTTTGTATTTCTTTGCTGTTTTTTGGGATTCCCTGCTTCTTTTTGGGATTTCCTGCTTGTTTTTTGGCATTTCTTGACCACCTTTGGGATTTCCTGCTTGTTTCTTTGGCATTTCCTGCTTGTTTTTTGGGGATATCCTGCTTGGTTTTTTTGGGATTTCCTGCTTGTTTTTTGGCATTTCCTGACTTTTTTGGGATTTCCTGACCTCTTTTGGGATTTCTTGCCTGTTTTTGGGATGTCCTGCTTGTTTTTTTGCATTCCCGGCCCGCTTTTGGGATTCCCGGCCCGCTTTTGGGATTCCCTGCCCGCTTTTGGGATTCCCTACCCACTTTTGCGATTCCCTGCTTGTTTTTTTGGCATTTCCTGCTTGCTTTTTGGCATTTCCTGACTGCGTTTTGGATTTCCTGACATTTGGGATTCCCTGCCCGCTTTTGGGATTCCCTACCCACTTTTGGCATTTCCTGCTTGTTTTTTGGGATTTCCTGCTTGTTTTTTGGCATTCCCTGCCCGCTTTTGGGATTTCCTGCTTGTTTTTTGGGATTCCCTGCCCGCTTTTGGGTTTCCCTGCCCATTTTTGGGATGCCCTGCTTGTTTTTTTTGGCATGTCCTGCTTGTTTTTTGGCATTTCCTGCTTGTTTTTTGGCATTTCCTGACTGCGTTTTGGATTTCCTGACATTTGGGATTTCCTGCTTGTTTTTTGGGATGTCCTGCTTGTTTTTTGGGATTCCTGGCCCGCTTTTGGGATTCCCTGCCTGCTTTTGGGATTCCCTGCCTGCTTTTGGGATTCCCTGCCCGCTTTTGGGATTCCCTGCCCGTTTTGGGGATTTCCTGCTTGTTTTTTGGGATTTCCTGCTTGTTTTTTGGGATTTCCTGCTTGTTTTTTTGGCATTTCCTGCTTGTTTTTTGGCATTTCCTGACTGTGTTTTGGATTTCCTGACATTTGGGATTTCCTGCTTGTTTTTTGGGATTCCTGGCCCGCTTTTGGGATTCCTGGCCCGCTTTTGGGATTCCCTGCCGGCTTTTGGGATTCCCTGCCGGCTTTTGGGATTCCCTGCCTGCTTTTGGGATTCCCTGCCTGCTTTTGGGATTCCCTGCCCGCTTTTGGGATTCCCTACCCGCTTTTGGGATTTCCTGCTTGTTTTTTGGGATTTCCTGCTTGTTTTTTGGCATTTCCTGCTTGTTTTTTGGCATTCCCTGCCCGCTTTTGGGATTCCCTACCCACTTTTGGGATTTCCTGCTTGTTTTTTGGGATTTCCTGCTTGTTTTTTGGCATTCCCTGCCCGCTTTTGGCATTCCCAGCCCGCTTTTGGCATTCCCTGACTTTTGTGGGATTCCCTTCTTCCATTTGTGATTTCCCACTTGTGTTTTCTCCCCCCCGTGCCCGTCGCTGTCTCTGCGGCGCCGCAGGTCCCCGGACGGTGTGGCCGGACGAGCTGATGGGGCCCTTCGGGCCGCAGGACCAGCGG